GCAATTGCTTGTGGTGGATTTTGATATTTGACGATGATTAAATTTTAAATAATTAAATACTTGTGTAAATACAATATGTATGTAAAGAAATTTATGTTTATCACATTCATTCGATGTTATCGATTTTTTAATATTTATCAAATTTACTGGGCGCTGGGTACACAATAATCGACTTCTTAGCTCACATATTCTTTGCTCAATAAATTTACGAGCTGACGATAAAATAGACATAACTGCATCTCGGGCAGTGCAGCGTTAATTTCCGTTTGAAGGTTTGCTTTGAGCTCCTCAATATTCTGAGTGTTTCTGGAGTACACTTCGCTTATCAAATAACTCGTCAAAAAAGTCAAACGGAGTGGGGTCAGTAGAACTGAGTGGCTACCCAATGTTTCCTTCACTTGGTCATCTGTCGTCCTAGCAATTTTCGTTGTTGGAACTGAATAATAATTAGAATTGAAGTGTGACATGGCTAGTTTGAACCCGTAATAATCAAACCTTTTTAACGTATTAGCGGGCAGACATAATGAGCTAAAATACACTGATATCGATTTCCAACCATCGACTGTCTCGTTTTGTCTAAGAAAAAACGTCGATCTCCAAACAGTCACTTTTTGATCAAACAACGTTGTTTTTTGAATCTCGAATGGACTTTATATTTCTCAAATACAGTAATTTTGGCTATTAAAGCCAATAGAGAGTGTATGACCTTTCCCGTCATTAAAAATTTTCTGCCAAAAATCATGTTCGGTGACATTCAATTGGGCACTGTTTTGCCGGCCCAACGTGAACGGTCAGTCGACAATATAATTTTTCTTTGCACGAAAACAATTTGAATCATACTTTAAATGTACCTCAAAGAGGTTAGTTACTTAGTTTAACATGGTGCTTAATCACGGAACCCTTATCGGCCCGTTGTGATACCTATTTTGGTCCTGATAAAGATATTCCTTTTATTCTTCCAAATGTTCAAACCACTTGATGTGTGGAGATTATTGACGCCTACTGAAGCAATCTCTACAAGACAATCGCAGAGGAAATTTTCGAGAACACGTTAACGGACCGTACTGAGAGCTGGGCAGTGACAGAGGTAGTGTTGAACCGGTTCCTCCTCATCTATGTCTCTGCAGCTGCGGCAGAAGTCATTTGAGAGGCAAGCAGCCCATCTTTCTACCATGAGTTCCCATAAGACGCGGTCCTGTTTATCTCAATTTGTCTTATATGTACGTGGTTTCGTTCTGTCATCTGCTGTTGGTCCCTCTGATGAAGGCTAGCCTTAGCAGATACTTTGAGTAAAGCAGTATGTCCACGTCAGGCGCAGAGTTTACCATGGTTAGAACTGTTCCCGCTCTGGCCAGTTCGTTGGCTATGCAGTTCTCTGGAATGTCTGAGTGACCTGAGACCGAAACCACGGACGTTTCGCATATAGTCGAGAGTTTCTTCAAGAGCTCATTTTATTGTTACCTTTGAGTTGGTATGATTACATTGGAGAGACTTAATGGCAGCCTGGCTGTCAGAATATATTGTAGAAGGTTGGATAAACGTATGAGAAGCGAGCAACCATGAAGCTGCCTCCGTTATAGCGGTTAGTTCCGTATGGAAGTCGTTTACTTAATTTTATAGCGAACTCCACAAACTATTTTGCCATCTAGTTTAGAGCCTTCGGTGAAGATGGCTTCAGATCTATGCTCCAAAATTGCTGCATTTTCCCACTTTATCCTCTCTGGGATTCTTGTGGTTTCTTCTTCTTTATTTGGCGTTGGCACCGCTTACGCTATTATAGCCAAATCCATATTAGTACGCTATATATCCCTTCTTTTAGCAGCTCGACCCAAGTTGGAAATATCAAGAGGAACCAGGTCACTCTCTACCTGATCCTTCCAACAGAGTGGAAGTCTTCCTCTTCTTCTATTTGGACTACATGACCTAACCAGCGCAGCTCTGTCTCTTCACTCGGAACTATGCCAATATCATCGTACAGCTCGTATTCGCCGTTGCCAATCCGCAATGGACTATACAACGTTCGCAAAACATTTCTCTCGAATACTCCCACGCTTCTGTGTCATACAGTAGGACGGGTATGATGAACGACTTACCGACATTGGTTTTTGTTCGCCGAGAGAGCACTTTACTTTTCAATTGCTACTCAGTCCAAAGTAGCATCTGTTTGTAAAAGCGTTTTTGCGTTAAATTTCAAGGCTGGTATTATTATTGGTGTTAATGCTGGTCGCTAAATAGACGAAACTATATACGACCCCAAAGTTATGACTGTCAACAGTGATGTGAGGGCCGTGTCGCGAGAGCGATGACGGTTTGTTTAATGGAAGGATATATTTCGTCTTGCCCTCATTCACTACCAGACCCATTCGCTTCGCTTCTTTATCAAGTCTGTACACTCTTGTAAAAGGTTATACTTTCTCTATTTAGCTTTTCAGCTCATATTATCTGGCTTCCAATTGTCGGTAATCGTACCAAATTTTGCAAAGAAGCTGATGCATGCACTTTGTCCATCGTCGTCGGTTAGGGTTTTGGGTTCACCATCTCCGGGTGTTTCATTTTCACTGGCATACACCGCCACAACCGAAAACAACTCAAATTTATGAATTCAAAATGGTCGAGTAATGTTTAATTTTTAGTCTACTAGGCCATTGTGGGAACACTTTTGCATTCACTTCAAAAATTAATACTGCTGCCTAATTCCGGAAAAGATTTGCCGCAAACAACATTCGTAATCAATTGGATTAATTAAGTGGGAAGGCGCATGCAATTAGGCGGCAAGCGTTTCGGCGTTGAGATGTAGTGAAATGGCAAAATTCCCACATTAGTAAAATTAGCGGAAGAGGAAGAAAATGGCGAACTACCCAATGCATTTAGCATTTGTATGGAAACTCGCGGGGGGATATGAGTAAAGGCATATAAATATAAACACGTGTATGTATGCCGCTGGCTGTGATGGCGTTATGACTTATTAGCGAAACATTTTCATTTTTTTTTTATATCACGTAATGAGGTTTGTGTTTATATTTTATACTTGTATGTATGTTTTTGTACTACATACGGGAATGCATTACGTTTTTTGGTATACAATTTATATATGTTCGTATGTGCATGAGAGTGATTTATATCCAATAATCAGCAAATATATTTATGGACCTACTAGTGGAGAGTAAACTGGCCGTAAATCGATCAAAGGAAACAGGAATATTTTCTTTTTATGGCGCTAAAGAGTTAAAAGTTTATCAGAAAAAAAGTCTTTCGCGTAGCTCAACAAAAAGAAAGTCGTAAAGTCATATTTGCTTGTTGTGTGGCATGTGGCACCATTTTGTTGAAACCACATGTTATCTAAGTCGTGTTCTTCAATTGCCAAAACAAGTCGGTTTATTAGTAGATCCCATAACACCTCGTTACCAAAGAGTGCACCAGACAGTTAGTTTTTTGGGTAAAGGTCTCTGCTTGATTAATTTGATTATCATCCGAGCCCGAAGTGCGACAAAATTGCTTATTTACCTATCCCCCGAGTGATTCCCCATCGTTGAAGTAAATTTTTTTCGAAAAATATTCCGTCTATTGCTTGTATCAGGTGTACAACTTTGCTTCCGCCGTTTTTTCTAAAATTAAAAGCTTTATTGCGAAAAAGTGCTTACAGATATATTATTCAAAGTATTGTCCTTCGCTAGCAACTTTCTCCCATCTTCCCGGCAATTTTCGGATCCCGTTTTGATAAAAGCAGTCCTCTTTTGACGCTATCCATGAAGCAATCCATTTTTCCAATTCTTCGAGGGATTGAAAATGTTGATCTGCCAGGCCGTGTGCCATCGAACGGAATAGGTGGAAGTCAAAAGGGGCGACATCTGGGGAATACGGCGGGTGGGGTGATACTTCCCATTTCAGCATTTCCAAGTACTTTTTGACCAGTTTTGGGAAGTGAGTCCGAGCATTGTCGTGTAGGAGGATGATTTTGTCATGTCGCTCTTGATATTGTGGCCGCTTTTCTTTTAGCGCGCGACTAATGCGCATCAATTGCGTTCGGTAGCGATCTCCTATGATGGTTTCACCCGGTTTTAAGAACTCGTAGTAAACCACACCGAGCTGATCCCACCAAATACAAATCATAACCTTGGCGCCGTGAATATTCGTTGAAACCTCTCCCGACACGTTCTTTCACTCAGAGCAGCATCACCTTAAGTTTCTGAGAGCATTCGATGCGCTTCAGCTGCATTTTTTTTCGAACTGTAACAGAAAAGTAAAACTTCCCGCAAATGGGGAGAATTAGGCACATAAACGGACATTTTCGAGCGTGAATAATACGAAAACAAGAACAACTGTCACTGAAACGGCGATGACAATTCGTTAGGCACTGTCCACACTCATTTTAAAGGCAATATCATCTTTCAACCAGCCTCAGCCGGTACAGCCACCTATCGGAAAACGGCGGAAGCAAAGTTGTACGACTGATAGTTTAAGCACCTAAACCCCGTATTTTCAGCGTTGTGCAAAGCCCTAGCGAGAGGCGAGTTCAGGGAGCAATTTATTTCACATTTGCGGACGGTCATGCTACCAACTGACGCATTGAATACAAATGTATTTAAGGGTTTTTGAATTACAGTTTTAATTTTTCTATTTTCTTATATGTCATAGAAGTCGCTTTTAGCCAAGTCCACTAGAGCAATTGTCATTTCCTGGTGGCTGAATGCCTGTTTTGACTGAAAAAATTCTTTACGAAAACCTGTAAGATCTCTATTGTTGCGGATTTCGATTCCGAAATAAAAGAATGTGTCTACAACTTCAAGTTTAGGTCTTATATCAGAATTTGGATATACTAAATGTCGACAGCATTATTATTATTATTATTATTATTATTATTATTATTATCATATTTTTATAAAAAACTATAAAATTAAAATTTTTAGTGTTTTTTCTTTAATCGTTTTGTAGGCATAATTTTAATTTGATAAGATATTTCTTATTAATTCTAAATTTGTGTTGGTCTCTTCTCATTTCAGATTAATTGATTTTGGCATCGACGAGCATGAGTATGATGAAGTTCAGGAATTACCAGACGAATCAAATATTAGCCCACAAATTGCAATTACTACAGCAGATATATTCCTTCAACAACAGCAGCAACAACAACAACAACAACAATCACTTTTACAAAACCCAATTAATAATAACAACAGCACTAACAACTTAAGCACAACGGATTTTCCACCAGAATTGCCACCACCAAAACAAAACAAACTGAAGAACTCAAAGAAAAACAAAACGAAGTCAAAAATACCCCGCTCACCATCACTAGCCTCGAGTGGTAGTGGTAGCGGTGGTGCATTGACCAACGTTGCTAGTAATACTAATCATCATACTATCAATAACAACAACAATCAAAATAATTTTGGCAGCACCATCGCATATTCACCAATTCCACCACAAACACCACCACTCCCGGTTAACTATCAGCAAAGCAAATTGAAACATATGAATGGTGGTAATACCACCACCACACCAACAACACCGCAAACTCCGTTAGCTGCCTTTGGTACCGGCTTCTCACCAGTAACGCCAACAACACCAACAATTCTGGTGTCCAACAGCGGCACTGGTGGCAATAATAATGTTGGTTTCGCTAGCACACCGACCGGTGGTAGTGTTGGTGGACTCGCAGTGATGGGTGGTGGTAGTGTGCCACCTAGTGGTGGTGCTGGCCTCAGTGCCAACGGTTCGAGCGTTAGTGGTGGTGGTAGTGGTGGTGGCGTTGCTGGCAATCAGCGTGGTAGTGTGAATATGGCCTCAGCTCGTCGGCCACAATTGCAAATCACTCCCATACCGGAATCACCGAAACACTTTCAGTTTTTGACGTTGACCGTGCGTAAGGACGAGAATGGTTATGGCATGAAGGTGAGTTTTTTTTTTCGTTTTTAATTTTCATTTATTTTCATGTCCGATATTGATTCAAAAAGTTTACAAATTTAGGTCAACTGCTAGAGTCGAGCAGTGTTTGATAGGCTAAATCAAAATATATTTAATCCGCTTGGCAAAATTGGTTTATTTTTCGACTTCTCTGTTAAATACTGGAATTACTAGCTTGAAAAGTAATTTTAAGTTTATCTAAAACGTGTTATTTGTGATTAAGAGCTTGTTAAAATGTAGAGACGGTGTTCTTGGTTGTTACATGCTGACTTATGTGAGACACCATTAGCCAAGTTGTAATCAATGAGAGCATGAACAGCGAAAGTTTCCGCTGCACCACTTGTATGTAAATCCACAAGACATTTTTCATAGACTGATCTCTAAAAAGAGATTTCATGCTTTTCGCAATACGAGCGACGAACATCGAAAGACGACACCAAAATTTTTTGGATGACGCCATGATGTGCGATTACTATTGGACTCCAATGCTTTAAACAGATCCTGATTAATACAAAAGAATCAGTTCAAATCACTTCAATTCTGCGTTGTTCCTTTTAAGTCATTATTCTCTGTGACCGCTGAAGCGATTTTCGGCCGAGCTCTTCCTACAATTTTTGGTATTCGTCTTGATTGTTTTCTGCCTCGAAATGGAGTACGCAACGCCAACCAGTCGGCTACTGGGAAGCAGCATCAGGAATTATTATGGAAACAACGTTCGGTTGCTTAGGTCGTAAACCGCGTATACTAGTGTTATCATATGTTAACTGCATATTTTCTGGGAAGATTTCTAACATACTAAATATATTCTGCATGATCTCAGCCTACTCATAATTGTCACTATCATTTATGCTTCATTTTCCTAGGTTTGTACAGAGTTATGGGTCCGAGGTCTTGGCCCGACTATTATTCTAACTACGATAAAATTCGTTTTGAATTATTGGAAAGTAACGCCACTTTTCTTTAGTTAGCCGACATCAAAAGGACGTGTTGTCTTTACATTGCATTAGGATTTAGTTGTAAAAAAGCTCTGATCAAAGTGAGTGTAGCGTATCTTCACTGCTAAATAAAACAAGAAAGTGTTGATGATTGTGATCAGTATTTGGTTATGTTTAAACGTAACCAAACGGAGTTTTGTTGTAATGTGTGAAACATGAACCCTTTGTCCCATCATCCCATAATCGCCTTCTGATTGGACAACAACTGGCAAAGCTCGTTCAAAGTGTCCGAAAGTACAACTATCGGCAGGAATTTTTGTTGTCTGAATATTCAAAGATGTACATCTATATTGAGAAGGAAATTACATTCCATACATTGGGAAAACTTCTTGAACTAGACATCGATTTGCTCTCACATCTATTGAATTCGCCAAGTTTAGATCCAACCGATGTTCGCAGATCTCATACTCTAATGAAAGGTTATCACTGAGAGTGAGAACTGTTATGAGTAAAAAGCTGATTCGTTCCAAAAAAGTCATATATAATAAATTTTTAACACGAAAAGTGTTGTATTTTTCAAATTCAGAGCTCTTGAACCCATTTGCTATGACATACTTTCCGTATGCAATCGTTTGCTCAGTTACGAAACAACGTTGTAGTTTGTAAATCAGGAGATATGTACATACATATATTCATCATTGAATCTGAAATTAAATTAACCTTATTTCATAAAAGTTTTATCTCTGGGAATGCTCAGGAGCAGGGCTTCTGTCTTGTTTTGAAATGCAGTAAGCTGTCGGCAGAGTATCAGTACTTCTACTCTCTCTTTTTTTGATTAGCCATTCTGGTGCGTTTTAATATTATGGATCCCCCCATTTAAGTCAAATCATAATCAAGAAGCGCCTAAAGACTAAAGAAACACTTTGGTATTGTGTATATTTAAATCCAGTACATATTTAAATATATGGTATAAATGTTTTAATATTGAAATACCTCAAAGCAGACTTACAGGCCTATTCTCACTGTAAATTTTGTTACTTTTCTTTAACACCCGAAATTGAATTTGGTATTCTGGCGAACTGGTTACAATGTTTAAAAAAAGTTTGGCAGCACTCACATAGAAATGGAAGACGGTGCACAAAAAAATTAAAAAGTTTTATTAATTTGTTTATTAAATCATAAATATTTGAATCTAATTATGGAAAATATGCCTGGACAACAAAAAAAGCTGAATGAAAACGTTATCTTACAAATTAAAGGGCTATTTTTTAGACTCGAAAACTGCTTTTTGCACTTTTTTCATCATCTTCAATGAATTCCAGGCCTAAAATATGCCTACCCATTTGGGTACTTTATTTTTTCTCAAATTTGCAACACAAAATCAAACAGCAGATATTTTTTGTTACCTCCTATTTCGAGGGTAACAATAATTTACAAGGTAACAGTGAGCTCAGAATACGAAATGGTAACAAAATTTACTGAATGGCAAATTTTAATACCAAAGTAAATTTTGTTACCTCGGCAGAATATGCCTGTTAGTGTCTTTGGACTGTTTTTGAACACAGGAATATATTCATATCAACAATTGTAGAGATATATGTACATTTATATGTATATATATTTTTATCATTTTCATCGTACAAAAAAAAAAAAAAAAAAAAACGGCCCAGCGTTGTGTTACTCTGCTGACCCAAAGACAGCGTATAAATTCAATTTATAACGATTTCATTTACCAGCCCGAGAGCGCATGCGATTTTACGATAAGTTAATTTTTTCCATTTTAGATTTGGATTTTTTCAATTTAATTATATTGCCATTAGTCAGCTGTAAGAGGGGAAATTTTACATGGTGCACACTCCTCTCGAAAATCGCTGACGATGACAGTTGTTTCCTTCTTATTATTTTTTTTTTCTTTTCTCACTTTTTCCTCTCTATTATTTACGTGTTTTGTTTGTGTTCTTTTATTGTTGTTTTTTTTTTTTTGTTTTGTTTCTTTTCATTTACGTCTCGTTTGTCGTTTGTCGACGTCGATTAAGTCAGCGTTTAGTTGAAATGTTTGTTTATAAATTGAAAATGAAGTCATCGTTCGTTTTGTCGGTCTGTCGGTAGTCGGTTAAAATGTGCGCATACTCATACACATATGCATACAGACATATACATATATATATATATATATATATATATATATATATATATATATATATATATGTGTGTTCGAACTAGTGATGAAGCGATCATGCAACTTTTGCAATCGACACGATCGGTGTGCCGTTAAAACGAGTATGTTGGCTTTGCTGCTGCGCGTGTGTGAGAGCAGCGCGTTAGCGATTTTGATGATGGTGTTGATGGAGAATGCAGATTGTTTCATTTTCTTTATTTCATTTTCATATGTTTTATAAAAATTTATTAATTTTTATTTGTCACCTTGCGAATTGTAGACACCGGTTTGTAGTGGCGTACAGGTTTTCTCATTATTTGCAAGACGTTACAACACACTTCGGGTGGAAAAAACGAATCAAGAAAACGAGATAAATAATTATTTAAAACCTTCAGCTCTTTTTACAGTCCATTTGCATTGCGTAAGGGTAGTTAGAATTTTAAAAAATTCCAAAATCATTTTTCATTTTCGAAATGTTCATATATTTTAGTACAGAGAAATTAAACTGCATTTCATGATTTTTTTTATTATAAAGTAGTAACCTAGGTGTTAAACATTACTTACTCAAATGAGCGCCTCGGGTATTTTTGCATTTTCGAACCGCTTGAGGTATTTTTTTTGCAGATATTGGGCGATACCCCAGCCGTAATATAGTTTATAGTTTATTTAAGGTTTATCTGCAAAAATTCGGTCTTCGCCGTAGCCTCACGAAAAAAAAGTCCAACGGTGTCAAACCGCACGATTACGCAGCCGGGAAATTTCCTTCGCAATAAAGCGTTATTCGCTCGTGCTGTGTGTCAGTGGAATCTTATTATTGAAATTACATATGTATGTATGTATTGCTCAAGTCGCGCTCTTCAATACTGGCCAAACAAATTGAGTTATCGTACTATAGTCTCGCCGTTGTCGTTTTCACACCTCCGGACCAAAGACTGTGCCAGACGACACTAAATTTTTTTTTTTGGGTTTTCTCAGAGCACCAAATGTGACAATTTTGCTTATCTACGTGTTCCCCGTATCCCCCAAGTGAGAAATGTGCCTCGTCGGTAAATATGTATGTACGGTGTTGTGAATTTTCATTTTGATATGGACGTAGGTATTGGTTCAAGTGCAAACAAAAAAAAAAAAAAAAAAAAAAAAAAAAAAAAAAAAAAAAATGTGCCGTAAGAAACTCCCCTCTCTCGACAACGTCGTGAAATCGATGTGCTCGAGTCTTCGGCTACGTTTTCACTTACAGTAACGATATTTCAGATGGAACGATCAAAACGATGATGCACAGGCCTTACAGGCCAAAATCGGGAACAAATCCAGTCTCTCGTTGGACAATTATGTGCAATATAATTTCCTCTTAAAGCATGAAGCGTGCTCACGTTTGATCAAAATTTTTGTAGTAGATCTTAACAAAATTGAATACGTTGTGCGTTGTGGCTCACTTTTAACTAAAACAAAACATGTTTGGTTTGTCAGCTAAGGTTGCCAAAGGTATGAACACAGCCCTTTAGTTTAAAAAACTCGACCATATATATTCTCTCAATAATTTTAACTTCTCTCCCGGTGGCCCCTCAGAAAAGAGTAAGCCCGTGCGTTAACGTTCTCAATAGAACTCATTACAATACCGCCCGACGTGTGAAATGGAGCTTAGTGAATACCATAAACTAGAAATTGAACGAAAAAAAAAAATGAAAATATTTTGTAAATTTGATTTTTGACAAATATTTTTTAATGCACCAAAAAAAAAATATCTCGAATTTTATCTGGAAGACTTGCATAAAAATTCATCAAGATCGGTTGAATAGTTTTTAAGAACTTTTGCAAATCGGCTTTGAGAACAGTTTCGAGAAAAACGCGTTTGATCTCAATCAGATTTAGAAGTTGTGAATTCGAAAATTATCAAA